GTTCAAATTAAATTTACCCTATATTTTTTATTTTTATTATCACACTGACCGATTCCCACCAAGGCAGGGTGGCCCAAAAAAGAAAAACTTTCACCATCATTCACTCCATCACTGTCTTGCCAGAAGGGTGCTTTACACTACAGTTTTTAAACTGCAACATTAACACCCCTCCTTCAGAGCGCAGGCACTGTACTTCCCATCTCCAGGACTCAAGTCCGGCCTGCCGGTTTCCCTGAACCCCTTCATAAATGTTACTTTGCTCACACTCCAACAGCACGTCAAGTATTAAAAACCATTTGTCTCCATTCACTCCTATCAAACACGCTCACGCATGCCCGCTGGAAGTCCAAGCCCCTCGCACACAAAACCTCCTTTACCCCCTCCCTCCAACCTTTCCTAGGCCAACCCCTACCCCGCCTTCCTTCCACTACAGACTGATACACTCTTGAAGTCATTCTGTTTCGCTCCATTCTCTCTACATGTCCGAACCACCTCAACAACCCTTCCTCAGCCCTCTGGACAACAGTTTTGGCAATCCCGCACCTCCTCCTACCTTCCAAACTACGAATTCTCTGCATTACATTCACACCACACATTGCCCTCAGACATGACATCTCCACTGCCTCCAGCCTTCTCCTCGCTGCAACATTCATCACCCATGCTTCACACCCATATAAGAGCGTTGGTAAAACTATACACTCATACATTCCCCTCTTTGCCTCCAAGGACAAAGTTCTTTGTCTCCACAGACTCTTAAGTGCACCACTCACCCTTTTCCCCTCATCAATTCTATGATTCACCTCATCTTTCATAGACCCATCCGCTGACACGTCCACTCCCAAATATCTGAATACATTCACCTCCTCCATACCCTCTCCATCCAATCTGATATCCAATCTTTCATCACCTAATCTTTTTGTTATCCTCATAACCTTACTCTTTCCTGTATTCACTTTTAATTTTCTTCTTTTTGCATACCCTACCAAATTCATCCACCAATCTCTGCAACTTCTCTTCAGAATCTCCAAAGAGCACGGTGTCATAAGCAAAGAGCAACTGTGACAACTCCCACTTTGTGTGATTCTTTATCTTTTAACTGCACGCCTCTTGCCAAAACCCTCGCATTTACTTCTCTTACAACCCCATCTATAAATATATTAAACAACCACGGTGACATCACACATCCTTGTCTAAGGCCTACTTTTACTGGGAAATAATTTCCCTCTTTCCTACATACTCTAACTTGACCCTCACTATCCTCGTAAAAACTCTTCACTGCTTTCAGTAACCTACCTCCTACACCATACACCTGCAACATCTGCCACATTGCCCCCCTATCCACCCTGTCAAATGCCTTTTCCAAATCCATAAATGCCACAAAGACCTCTTTAGCCTTATCTAAATACTGTTCACTTATGTTTCACTGTAAACACCTGGTCCACACACCCCCTACCATTCCTAAAGCCTCCTTGTTCATCTGCTATCCTATTCTCCGTCTTACTCTTAATTCTTTCAATAATAACTCTACCATACACTTTACCAGGTACACTCAACAAACTTATCCCCCTATAATTTTTGCACTCTCTTTTGTCCCCTTTGCCTTTATACAAAGGAACTATGCATGCTCCCTGCCAATCCCTAGGTACCTTACCCTCTTCCATACATTTATTAAATAATTGCACCAACCACTCCAAAACTATATCCCCACCTGCTTTTAACATTTCTATCTTTATCCCATCAATCCCAGCTGCCTTACCCCCTTTCATTTTACCTACTGCCTCACGAACTTCCCCCACACTCACAACTGGCTCTTCCTCACTCCTACAAGATGTTATTCCTCCTTGCCCTATACACGAAATCACAGCTTCCCTATCTTCATCAACATTTAACAATTCCTCAAAATATTCCCTCCATCTTCCCAATACCTCTAACTCTCCATTTAATAACTCTCCTCTCCTATTTTTAACTGACAAATCCATTTGTTCTCTAGGCTTCCTTAACTTGTTAATCTCACTCCAATATTTAATTGAATTAAAAAAACTGAAGCAGTTCTATTTGACTGAGCAACTTGCCTCAACAGGTCTGACATACTTACTGACATTTTGATTTAATTCTGAAATTAAAAACTGAAATATTCATGATATTGTGTAAATTAGGCGAAACGTTTCAGTCAACAGTATTATTATAATCAAAACTAAGTAAGTTTATTCAGGTATACACAAATACAGCTACATAGATTATCATACATATGTGTAGAGAACCCATGATAACCCCCCCCCAAAAAAAAAAAAAAATCAGTCAAAGTGACTTATTTCCATTGCAGTCCTTGAGATTGTACTTTAAATATTTTTGTTGTTTCTGTGTTATTCTTACCACTGTATGACACCATTATTACCATCACATTCATGGAGGGGGAGCACTAAACCCATAGGGGATCATATAGCACCTGGGGGGATAAGTAGTCATTCAGACTCAAGGAATTGGAGCACAGGTCCAATTCTTTAGATCAAGAGCCCCTCCCCAGCATCAAGGAACCTCCCTTGAGAGGATGATTCATACCAGCATTTGTATATGGCGAGCTTTCTTTATTTATTATTTACTTTGCCGTAGTTCTCTTATTTTTAATAGGTTACCTGGAGTTTACCTGGAGAGAGTTCCGGGGGTCAACGCCCCCGCGGCCCGGTCTGTGACCAGGCCTCCTGGTGGATCAGCCCCTGATCAACCAGGCTGTTGCTGTTGGCTGCACGCAAACCAACGTACGAGCCACAGCCCGGCTGATCCGGAACTGACTTTAGGTGCTTGTCCAGTGCCAGCTTGAAGACTGCCAGGGGTCTGTTGGTAATCCCCCTTATGTGTGCTGGGAGGCAGTTGAACAGTCTCGGGCCCCTGACACTTATTGTATGGTCTCTTAACGTGCTAGTGACACCCCTGCTTTTCATTGGGGGGATGGTGCATCGTCTGCCAAGTCTTTTGCTTTCGTAGTGGGTGATTTTCGTGTGCAAGTTCGGTACTAGTCCCTCTAGGATTTTCCAGGTGTATATAATCATGTATCTCTCCCTCTTGCGTTCCAGGAAATACAGGTTTAGGAACCTCAAGCGCTCCCAATAATTGAGGTGTTTTATCTCCGTTATGCGCGCCGTGAAAGTTCTCTGTACATTTTCTAGGTCGGCAATTTCACCTGCCTTGAAAGGTGCTGTTAGTGTGCAGCAATATTCCAGCCTAGATAGAACAAGTGACCTGAAGAGTGTCATCATGGGCTTGGCCTCCCTAGTTTTGAAGGTTCTCATTATCCATCCTGTCATTTTCTAGCAGATGCGATTGATACAATGTTATGGTCCTTGAAGGTGAGATCCTCCGACATGATCACTCCCAGGTCTTTGACGTTGGTGTTTTCGCTCTATTTGTGGCCAGAATTTGTTTTTGTACTCTGATGAAGATTTAATTTCCTCATGTTTACCATATCTGAGTAATTGAAATTCTCATTGTTGAACTTCATATTGTTTTCTGCAGCCCATGAAAGATTTGGTTGATGTCTGCCTGGAGCTTTGCAGTGTCTGCAATGGAAGACACTGTCATGCAGATTCGGGTGTCATCTGCAAAGGAAGACACGGTGCTGTGGCTGACATCCTTGTCTATGTCGGATATAAGGATGAGGAACAAGATGGGAGCGAGTACTGTGCCTTGTGGAACAGAGCTTTTCACCGTAGCTGCCTCGGACTTTACTCTGTTGACGACTACTCTCTGTGTTCTGTTAGTGAGGAAATTATAGATCCATCGACCGACTTTTCCTGTTTATTCCTTTAGCACGCATTTTGTGCGCTATTATGCCAGGTCACACTTGTCGAAGGCTTTTGCAAAGTCTGTATATATTACATCTGCATTCTTTTTGTCTTCTAGTGCATTTAGGACCTTGTCGTAGTGGTCCAATAGTTTGAGACAGACAGGAGCGACCTGTTCTAAACCCATGTTGCCCTGGGTTGTGTAACTGATGGGTTTCTAGATGCGTGGTGATCTTGCTTCTTAGGACCCTTTCAAAGATTTTATGATATGGGATGTTAGTGCTATTGGTCTGTAGTTCTTTGCTGTTGCTTTACTGCCCCCTTTGTGGAGTGGGGCTATGTCTGTTGTTTTTAGTAACTGTGGGACGACCCCCGTGTCCATGCTCCCTCTCCATAGGATGGAAAAGGCTCGTGATAGGGGCTTCTTGCAGTTCTTGATGAACACAGAGTTCCATGAGTCTGGCCCTGGGGCAGAGTGCATGGGCATGTCATTTATCGCCTGTTCGAAGTCATTTGGCGTCAGGATAACATCGGATAGGCTTGTGTTAATCAAATTTTGTGGCTCTCTCATAAAAAATTCATTTTGATCTTCGACTCTCAGTCTGGTTAGCGGCTTGCTAAAAACTGAGTCATATTGGGACTTGAGTAGCTCACTCATTTCCTTGGAATTATTATGGTTTGGAAATTTGAATTTCATTTTATTGTATCTGTTTGTCAGTCATTTTATTTAAAATAAAAAAAAACAGTATTCTTTTAATTCCGACAGTCTAATGATGCAATTGACCTATTGCGACAATTTAATTATTTAAAAAACATAATAACTTTAGTTAAGAATTTTAATTTTAATTGCAATTATATTTACAGCATATTCACAGGGCGCTAAATCCAAATGTAGTCAATTATAAGGCAGGTCCCATTTTACGGGATGAAAATACATTTTAAGGTAAGTAATGTGTGTACTGTATATGCATTTTTTAGGCCTAGTTACATTGCTCACTCAATATATGATAGTATAAACATGTTATCAGGCTTTTATATGCATTGGAAAGTGAAAAAAAACTGACTCACTTTCAAGCAGTAGCCCAGACCCGAACCTGGACTAATTATCTCATTTTGGTACCAGACAATTTTAAGCTTTTTGAGACAAACTACATCCAGCTTAACCTTGTATTCTGGCTCATTGTTTATGATAGATGAATGACATGGGCAAACAAAACTCCATTGATTTATAGATTCATTTTATTGTGAGATATTGTATTAATTGATGATGTGATGCAGAAGAAAAATAGTTTTAGTTCTCAGATAAAATTCGACATCTGAGATCGAGTAAAAAAATGCTGAGCAAAATGTTGTCAATGAAGAATTATTATGTATTGGTTATAATAGTTATGCAGTACTATATATAAATGAGAATGAAAACCTACATTTTATCCCAGAAGGGAATCATAAAATTCCAGCAAAGAGAATTTTCAAGTGTGGGATAATACATGACCTAAAAAAACATAAATTGTTTTATTTTATGAATTATTCTAGCCATTATATGGCAACTTTTACTTGCCAACCATGGATGTGTATTAGTACCTCACACATGGAATACTGGCAAAACAAGTTACAGTAATATATAATAAACAAGATTCAGACTCTAGGATAACCTGCGCTTGATAGTGCCTCAGGAAGGATGGTAACGCTGTCGTCTCCTAAGTGCAAGTTATCTGTGAGTTGTTCCAGCCACTATATTGTGAAATTTATTCTTTAGCATCTAGATTGTATAGCTGCAGTGGTTGCACTTGGGCTGACGCTTCACATAGAAGAAAGCGATGATGCCTGGAATGATGCCCAAGGGAAGACACAAGATGCAGCAACACCAGGACCAAAACGATGCACTGTTCTTAATTTTACCAATCTGTGAGTATAAAAACAAATGCTAGAATCTATGTCGAATTTCATAACAAAAAATATTACTGTAGAATTTTTATTCTAACATACTAAGCATTTTTTTGTTTTCATCATATAACTATAACTTATAATGAAAAACTGCCCCTTGACAATGAAATCATTCCTCTTGATTTACTCTGCTTCTGACTCTTCCCCTCCCCCTTCCTCCCCCTCCCCATTCCCTCCCCTCCTCCTCCTTCCGCTGTCTCCTCTCTCTCTCCTTCCTCTCTATCTCACTCCCTTCACTCATGACCCAAACTTAGGCAATGTCAGGATGCAGGTGTCACTGACACACACACACACACACAACACACACACACACACACATACATAACACACACACAACACACACACACATAACACACACACAACACACACACAACACACACACAACACACACACAACACACATACACACACACACAACATACACACAACACACACACACACAACACACACACACACATACACACAACACACAACACACACACAAACACACACACACACACACACACACACACACACACACACACACACACACAACTACTCTCAGAACCATACAACCTATCACACCATCCCAACACACACTACAATCCATACCCACAGCCTCAACCCAACACCGAGCTATAGAATCCCACAGTATGCCACCAGGTCTCCCACCCTCACAGACCCCCCAAACCACAGTGTTGGAAAGGAAACTGAAGGTATGGTACACAAACGCTGATGGAATAACAAATAAGTGGGAGGAGTGGCATGAAAGAGTCAAAGAAGCATCACCGGACATCATAGCTCTCACAGAAACCAAGCTTACAGGTATGATAACAGATGCCATCTTTCCAACGGGATACCAAATCCCTGAGGAAAGACAGAGGGAACAGGGGGGGTGGAGGAGTGGCGTTGCTGATCAAAAATCGCTGGAATTTTGATGAGCTGGAGAGAGGAGACAGCGGAGAAGAAAGTGATTACATAGTGGGAACACTTCACACTGGAGATCCCAAGGTGGTAATAGCAGTGATGTATAACCCACCACAGAACAGCAGGAGGCCAAGGCAAGAGTACGACGAGAGCAATAGAGCGATGGTTGACACACTGGCTAGAGTGCCCAGAAGAGCTCATGCATGCAGGGCAAAGCTCCTGATCATGGGTGACTTTAACCACAAGGAATCGATTGGGAGAACTGTGACCCACATGGGGGCCAAGATACATGGAGGGCTAAGATGATGGAGGTGGTACTGGAAAACTTCATGTGCCAACACGTAAGGGACACTACAAGAGAGAGAGGAGAGGATGAACCAGCAAGGCTGGACTTAGTATTCACCTTGAGTAGTGCAGATATCGAGGACATCACATATGAAAGACCCCTTGGGGCCAGTGACCATGTGGTTTTAAGCTTCGAATACACAGTAGAGCTACAAGTGGAGGGAGAAGCAGGAAGGCCAGGACGAATGAAGCCAAACTACAAGAAAGGGGACAAACACGGGAATGAGGAACTACCTGAACGGGGTTCAGTGGGACAGAGAACTGGCAGGGAAGCCAGTTAATGAGATGAGGAATATGTAGCAACAAAATGCAAGGGGGCTGAGCAGAGGTTTGTACCCAAGGGTAACGGATTAATGAAAAAGCCAGGATGAGCCCAGGGGTTTACCCAAAGGTGCAGGGAGGCAAAAACCAAGTGTGCTAGGGAATGGAAGAAATATAAAAGGGCAAAGGACCCAGGAGAAAAGGAGAACAGTCGTAGAGCCAGAAACGAATATGCACAGATAAAAGGGAGGCCCAAAGACAATATGAAAATGACATAGCAGCGAAAGCCAAATCTGACCCGAAACTGTTGTACAGCCACATCAGGAGGAAAACAACAGTCAAGGACCAGGTAATCAGGCTAAGGAAGGAAGGAGGAGAGACAACAAGAAATGACTGTGAAGTATGTGAAGAACTCAACAAGAGATTCAAAGAAGTGTTCACAGAGGAGACAGAAGGGACTCCAGAAAGACGGAAAAGGTGGGGCACACCACCAAGTGCTGGACACAGGGGCACACAACCGAGGAAGAAGTGAAGAGGTTTTCTGATTGAGCTAGATACCTCAAAGGCAATGGGGCCAGATAAACATCTCCCCATGGGTATTGAGAGAAGGAGCAGAGGCGCTATTGTACCCCTAACAACAATATTCAATACATCTATCGAAACAGGGAGATTGCCTGAGGCATGGAAACAGCAAATGTAGTCCCAATCTTTAAAAAAAGGAGACAGACATGAAGCATTAAACTACAGACCAGTGTCACTGACATGTATGTATGCAAAATCATGGAGAAGATTATCAGGAGAAAAGTGGTGGAACCCCTAAAAAGGGAAATTTGATCTCATCAACAGCAGCCAACATGGTTTCAGGGGGGGGAAATCCTGTGTCACAAACCTACTGGAGTTCTATGACATGGGACAGCAGTAAGACAAGAGAGAGAGGGGTGGTGGATTGCATTTTCTTGGACTGCAAGAAGGCGTTTGACACAGTTCCACACAAGAATTGGTGCAAAAACTGGAGGACCAAGCAGGGATAACAGGGAAGGCACTACAATGGATCAGGGAATACTTGCCCAGGAAGACAGCAGCGAGTCAGGGTACGTGGCGAGGTGTCAGAGTGGCACCGTGACCAGGGGGGTCCCGCAGGGGTCAGTCCTAGGACCAGTGCTGTTTCGGGTATTTGTGAACGACATAAACGGAAGGAATAGACTCTGAGGTGTCCCTGTTTGCAGATGATTTTGAAGTTGATGAGAAAGAATTCACTCGATCGAAGACCAGGCAGAACTACAAAGGGATCTGGACAGGCTGCAGACCTGGTCCAGCAATTGGCCCTGGAGTTCAATCCCACAAGTGCAAAGTCATGAAGATTGGGAAGGGCAAAGAAGGCCGCAGATGGATTACAGTCTAGGGGGTCAAAGACTACAAACCCCCACTCAAGAAAAAGATCTTGGGGTGAGTATAACACCAGGCACATCTCCTGAAGCGCACATCAACCAAAAAACTGCTGCAGCATATGGGCGCCTAGAAAACCTCAAAACAGCATTCCGACATCTTAATAATGAATCATTCAGGACCCTGTAACACCGTGTAGTTTAGGCCCATAAATTTGGGGTATGCGGCACCAGTTTGGAACCCACACCTAGCCAAGCACGTGAAGAAACTAGAGAAAGTGCAAAGGTTTCAACAATGACTAGTCCCAGAGCTAAGAGGTTGTCCTACGAGGAGAGGTTAAGGGAAATCAACCTGACGACACTGGGGGACAGGAGAGATAGGGGGGACATGATAACGACATACAAAATACTGAGAGGAATTGACAAGGTGGACAAAGACAGGATGTTCCAGAGATTTTGGGCACAGTAAAAAAGGGGACACAGTTGGAAGCTGAAGACACAGATGAATCACAGGGAGTTTGGAAGTATTTCTTCAGCCACAGAGTAGTCAGTAAGTGGAAAGTTTGGGAAGCGATGTAGTGGAGGCAGGATCCATACATGCTTTAAGCAGAGGTATGATAAAGCTCACGGCTCAGGGAGAGTGACCTATAGCGAATCAGTGAAGAGGCGGGGCCAGGAGCTCGGACTCGACCCCCGCAACCTCAACTAGGTGATACACACACACACACACACACACACACACACACACACACACACACACACACACACACAACCACACACACACACACACACACATACACAAAACACGCAACACACACACACCACCCCATACAAAACGCACACACACACAACACACACACACACACACACACACACACACAAAACACAATACACACACACAACACACACACACACATACATAACACACACACAACACACACCAACACACACACAACACACACACACACAACACACACACACACACACACACACACACACACAACACACACACACACACACACAAAACACACAACACACACAACACACAAACAACACACAACACACAACACAACACACACACACACACACACACACACACACACACACACAAATTTCTGAAGATAACTTATCCAAGTACAAAAACAGCTTATAGCTACAATGCTAATGCATAGAAGGCAAAAAGGAGGCAGCAAATATTTATATAACATGTACTCAAATCATATGTTACACACAAACAACACATCTTAACAATGAAAATGGGTTGAGCAAACATTTACGTTAGTGGGTATTTTTTTTTTCAACAAGTCGGCCGTCTCCCACCTAGGCAGGGCGACCCAAAAAGAAAAAAAATCCCCGAAATGAAAATACTTTCATCATCATTCAACACTCACCTCACTAACACATAATCACTGTTTTTGCAGAGGTGCCCAGATACAACAGTTTAGAAGCATATATAAAGATACAATATAAAAAGTGACCTGAAATAATTACAATATCAGGGCTCCAATTTTATATATATACCATCGTTTCCATTCACTCCTATCTAACACGCTCATGCACGCTTGCTGGAAGTCCAAGCCCCTCACCCACAAAACCTCCTTTATCCCCTCCCTCCAACCTTTTCGAGGACAACCCCTACCCGGCCTTCCTTTCCCTACAGATTTATACGCTCTCCATGTCATTCTACTTTGATCCATTCTCTCTAAATGACCAGACCACCTTAACAACCCCTCTTCAGCCCTCTGACTAATACTTTTATTAACTCCGCACCTTCTCCTAATTTCCACACGAATTCTCTGCATAATATTTACACCACACATTGCCCTTAGGCAGGACATCTCCACTGCCTCCAACTGCCTCCTCGCTGCAGCATTTACAACCCAAGCTTCACACCCATATAAGAGTGTTGGTACCACTATACTTTCATGCATTCCCTTCTTTGCCTCCATTGATAACATTTTTTATCTCCACATATACCTCAATGCACTACTCACTTTTTTTCCCTCATCAATTCTATGGATAACCTCATCCTTCATAAACTCATCTGCTGACACATCAACTCCC